AAAGTGTGGTGCCGAGGGATGGCTGTGGTTACAGATCCCCCCACTGATTACCCAAAGGAGGGTCTAGGATGTGCAAAATTACCAGCTGTGAGTAGAAACAAGCAACGGGCTCTCCCCATATACCTGTGTAGTTAAACATCACCACACATTTTGCAGCTTAAGAAGTCTGAAGGATGCCTTTTACCATTCCCACCACCCTCAAAGGTGGCATCAGGAACTGCAGGTCCTTGCTTGACAATTAAAACACATGCTCGCAGCCTTTTTGACACCCTTCTCTAGACTGTTCTCCCTGACATCATCATTCAGGAGAGATTCGTGACAGGTCATCTTGACCCAGTCCTACTGGGGCAGGAACACTACACACTCCAAAGAAAGAAAAGGATCTTGATGCTTATTAAATATCCCTCTCCAAACCTTGGTCTGATCATAAAGCACTGGAACATTCAACTGAAGAAAGCCTTTTTGGGGACACAGAAAACCATAGGTAACTTGCAGATTAATAAGGACAGGCTGGAAAATTAACAGCAGTGAAGACAGGTTTGTTACTGCGACAGCATCATAGGCAGAGTGAAGCACCAGTGTGCGATTTTCTCTTTGCCACGGGTGTAAAAGTGGAAGGGCTGGAAGAAGGACCTGGGAGAAGCAGCACAGAGCTGCAGAGTACTTCTGCATCATCCTAATGGTGCAGAGAAAAGTCCATTCTTCCTCACCTTAATGAATGAAGGAGCCTTAAATGCACCTTCCCAGGTCTCAGCCCTGCTCCCATTTCACAACCACCTTGGCAGATCCCTCACAACACAGAGGGCAGGACATGACCTGGGCATTCATCTTGCTGGTGCCACACAACCATGATGTGACACCTAGGTGAGCCAGCTCCTAGGCCATTCCACAGGCTCACTGTATTGCTCTGGCAATGCAAAGTGGCTACACTCCCAGCTACTTCATTTCCCGAGCTGAAGAGGAGGAGAGAGGTATCTTGAGTCTACAGAGATCTGGGATCCACTCTCCTCCCTCTTGGACCCACACCTGGGAAGCATGGGCACCAAACTGCCCCGTGCATCTTGGCTAGGAGACTACCTCGGCTTGCCACCACTGCTTCTCTTCTCCAAACCATCTTGCACGATTCTGCACCTCGCAGATAACAAGCGCCGTTTATGGCAAGAGAGGCTTGGCCACAGACTTGATCTCACAAGAGGTTCAACACCTGATTAGTACCTGATTCCCAGAGTGGCTGACGTTCTCCTGGGAGGAAGCTCTGTTCCGGCGTTTCGCATGATGGGGTGGGTAGGCAGGGAACAGGGCTCCCTTCACATCCTCGTCAGAAGTGTCCATATCTGCAGAGTACCGAGATCGGGGCTGCTCGTTCCAGGGGCTGCCTTTGGAGAGAGAAGGCTTCAGCACAAAGGTATAAGAGATCCACATCCCCGAGTTACTTCCTGGACATTGGCCTCATCCTTAAGACAAGCAAATAATGAAGCACTTCTCCAAATCACACTTTCTATCCTTTGGCAGGAGATGCTTCCACAAGAGAGACCAAGGTTAAGGATGGCTGTGCTGGGGCCAGGTTGCATCTCCCTCCGCTGGAGCCACATAGCACCTAGTTCAGTAGCGTCCCATTCAGCACTGCTGAGATAGCAGCAGGCACAAGGAGCAGTATCCTTGCTCTCTCACGCCCCTAACAGCAAGGGCCCTCCTCACCAAAAACTTGCTATTGCCTTCCCAATTTTGTTGGAGTACAGGTTTGGGCACTGCCCTTCATGCATTGTTCAGGTGCTGGAAGATGTTTATCTCAGGCTACAGAGATACCAGTCTAGGACAGAGCATTTAAAAGAGTGGAAATTCTCCTTTGTAAGGAGAATTTCAAATGAGGCCAAAACAATGAGAGAAAATGGAATCAACAAGCCAAGGGACCCTGCTGCTCTGTTGCTCCGGAGGGGCTCAGAGTAGGAATTTAAACAGTGCACAGTAAGGTTTATCCAGTGTTTCCTAGTGCCCTGAAAATCAAGCACTTGAAAATACAACCAAGCAGTCGGAGACCCAGATGGAGATATATACATTCTACAGCTGCATGGCGAGGAGACTACCTCGGCTTGCCACCACTGCTTCTCTTCTCCAAACCATCTTGCACGATTCTGCACCTCGCAGATAACAAGCGCCGTTTATGGCAAGAGAGGCTTGGCCACAGACTTGATCTCACAAGAGGTTCAACACCTGATTAGTACCTGATTCCCAGAGTGGCTGACGTTCTCCTGGGAGGAAGCTCTGTTCCGGCGTTTCGCATGATGGGGTGGGTAGGCAGGGAACAGGGCTCCCTTCACATCCTCGTCAGAAGTGTCCATATCTGCAGAGTACCGAGATCGGGGCTGCTCGTTCCAGGGGCTGCCTTTGGAGAGAGAAGGCTTCAGCACAAAGGTATAAGAGATCCACATCCCCGAGTTACTTCCTGGACATTGGCCTCATCCTTAAGACAAGCAAATAATGAAGCACTTCTCCAAATCACACTTTCTATCCTTTGGCAGGAGATGCTTCCACAAGAGAGACCAAGGTTAAGGATGGCTGTGCTGGGGCCAGGTTGCATCTCCCTCCGCTGGAGCCACATAGCACCTAGTTCAGTAGCGTCCCATTCAGCACTGCTGAGATAGCAGCAGGCACAAGGAGCAGTATCCTTGCTCTCTCACGCCCCTAACAGCAAGGGCCCTCCTCACCAAAAACTTGCTATTGCCTTCCCAATTTTGTTGGAGTACAGGTTTGGGCACTGCCCTTCATGCATTGTTCAGGTGCTGGAAGATGTTTATCTCAGGCTACAGAGATACCAGTCTAGGACAGAGCATTTAAAAGAGTGGAAATTCTCCTTTGTAAGGAGAATTTCAAATGAGGCCAAAACAATGAGAGAAAATGGAATCAACAAGCCAAGGGACCCTGCTGCTCTGTTGCTCCGGAGGGGCTCAGAGTAGGAATTTAAACAGTGCACAGTAAGGTTTATCCAGTGTTTCCTAGTGCCCTGAAAATCAAGCACTTGAAAATACAACCAAGCAGTCGGAGACCCAGATGGAGATATATACATTCTACAGCTGCATGTGCACAAGCCAGCACCCAACCCTCCTGGCTCTGCTATCACAGCAGGAAAAACGGTAGTAGTTAAAGGCAAATTCTGCAGCACCATCTGCACCATCCTTTGCTAGGGTATTTATAGACTCATGAAGCGACAGATCCTGCAGCCTGCCAGTGCACAGGGATAGCAACCCTCACTGCTTTCCTCCAGTTCTTGTCCAGTCTTACTCCAGTTCAAGACCCCTTGAAACTCCAAAATTTCTGCACCTACAACATCCTTGGCAAGGAGTTCAATTAATCTGTCACTGCCTGCAGGACATCCCATTTTTTCTAGTCTGGCTTCTAGTAGTGTTGTTTGAGTGTAACAAGTTCCTCCTCTGGACAAGACCTCCAGATCTGAAAGGGCTGGACACCTTAAGAACAGCCCTTCTGGCTTTGAGAAATTAGTTTGTTGGGGACAGAACCAGCCCATTACAACCAAATAACTTCAGCCAATTCTCTCATGAAAAAAAACCCACTTCTGCAGATGGGTATTTTGTCTTGACACCTCATCCTTTTAGTGGCTTTGAGGTTGTTCACATTTTGGTCCAACTCTTGCACCACTTCTCCCCAAGATACAAGAGGAGCCTGGCCAGAGACACCTACCAGGTTTTACATTTCTTTCCAGGCTCCTTCTCTGTGAATTGACGGTGAGCCGAACCTCTGTGCTGAAGTGCTGCTCTGGAGGGCTCATGCCTGGTCCTTGTTCCTGCAAGACGTGGTGGAAGACCAGATCTGCCTCTGCAATCCTGGACTCCTTCTGGGAGGCATCTTCTGCTGTGCTGGGGAAATCTGGGAAGGACTGAGAGATGAGGATTGCTGATGAGCAGCTGCCTGTGAGGTCTCGCTGCCTCTCCCGACCTTGCTAACAGCTCCTAGCTTTACCCCCCAATACATGCGTGGATTGACCTTTTATAATGCCAATTCCAAATAATCCTTTTTAAAGCCTTACTTGTCTTGCTAATGAACCCTGAGCAATACTTCTCATCACTACCAGGGGGCACTGTTAATTTTTAAGAGAACTATGCACGGAGTCCTTACAGCTAGGCTGCAAAAAGCCTGTCTTTTAAAACACCATGACCTCTCACTTATTCAAACACAGCTACCTTCTGCCCCTCAAATAATCTGCAAACAATAAATGTAATTCGGATGATCTCAACAAAGGCCAGCCCTCCTAGACTCACGTTGAACTCTACTGCATAAAGATGGGCTTAGATAAAGAAAGAATCAATCTACTTGTTTGACCAAAATTCTTACCAATTTACATGGAATGGTGTGAATTGTGGGGTTTTTTAAAGCCTTTGTTACACATCTTAGCACATCCTAGTTCTACCCAGGGGTACAGTTTAAAATGTAAAGCTGCTTAATTTTCTAAAAGTGAAATTTCAACAGAAAAGGTGAACAGGAGCAGCCCAGAAAGCTTGATCTGAAGCATCTCAGGCTGGAAGATCTTTTGCCACATCCAGGGCAGCCCCATATGTGTTGCTCCCCAGAGCTGGAAGGTGGGGATGGCTGACCCCAAGCCCTCACTGGGATCCCAGGGCACAGCTCACTGCAGTCACTCATGCTGGAGCTGCCGTGGGTCCTGCTCCTGGTCAGGATCTCCTGGCACTAAGACACATACAGTCTCCTATATAGACATAACCAGTGTTCATGCAGTTTGTGTTCTCCCCTCTGACTGATGGGGACCCCCACCCTGCAGGTGCCATCCTTGATGGCTCGCTGGCTCTGTAGGATTCATTTTCTCAATCTCAGAAGGGTAGCGTGCTCCACGGAGCTGCTGGCCAACTACGTCCCCAGTGCCACCACACATCAAAATCAGCCCCAAACTGGACAGGATGATGGGAGAGGAGTCTGGCTTCATTTAACCCCTTGAATACTGAACCTCCAAAAGCTCACTGGAAACTAGGGTGTCCCATAGCTTTGGACAACACAAAAAAACTGTTGTCTGCAGAGAGCCTCTTGCTATCTCATCTTACCACTCATCCTCACTTTGGTCAGATGTCCTACTCCTGACTCAGCCTCAGGGAAAGCACTTGAAATGGGAGAAGAGATAGCAAGCAGGGTTATGGGAAGTGAGGATCGGCACCATCACCTCTCAACACCAGCTGAAGGAGGAGGTACCAAAGGTAGCAAGGAGGAATAAGAGAGGAAAGCAATCCCCCAGCACTCTCCCAGTACCTGGAAATCATCTGGGCTGCCGGCTGCTGGAGAGAGCTGCACAGACTGGTGGTGAGACTGAGCAGAGTATTCCGAGTCCAGTTCAAAATCAAAGGGATGGACAGACAGCAGGCGCTTTGTCTTGCGCATCTTACCATAGGAAGTGCAAGAAAGGAAAATTCAGCATAAGACCCACATATGACCTTGAAGAAAGGGGGAGTGAGGGCCTTTGTGTCCTTAGTTTGCCTGAGTTTGCACAGCCCAAAGCAAATATCCTGCTTTTGCAGAGAAAATTTGGGTCTGATGTTCTCCTGCTTGCAGGGAGTCAGGTATGCAGGGTGGCATGCACTTATGCTGGAGTCAAGGAAAAGCGGGTTCCTCATTTCCACGGTTTCTGGCTCAGGACTCTGGCCGTGAGCAGACAGTGAGAAGCTCTCTCCTGGTTTATAAGGGCACTATTGGAAAGCTGAGCCAGGTTACAGCTCAGGGACAGATCCAGGAAATGCCTTTTTGTCCTGAAGCATCTCCCCGTCTTCAGAGAAAGGATGCTGTGGGCAGTCATTTGGGAGGTCATCACCTGCCTTGAGGCAGGAGCAGCTTGGACAAGACTCTAAGACTTCAGAAGCAGAGCAGAATGAAGTATCAAGTGTGTGAAACGCAGCCGCAGGTTGAGATGGTGTGTATGTAAAAGCATGTATGTAACTGTACCAGCATTTCAAACAAACTGGCAGACTTCACACATGCTTCAAGGACAAATACACTTCCCATCAGGCTGCTTAATCTGCATTTCAATCCATACACATAGTCCCAGAAAAAAACAGGAGATAAATCAATGAACCCAGCTGTGCTTTCCTAGTCTACCATGTATGTCTTCTAGTGAAAAACCAAGTGGGTTCTCATTATAGGGTGGGAGCTGGGACGTTTACATTAATTGGGGTCTTCCTGAGTGTCAGGAGCAGGTCTTTGTTTCCAGGGGGCAAGTATGTGATTTTACTGAGTCGGCTGTTTCTACACTAACTGGGAGAGGGGCTTATTTCAGAAAAGGAAAACAGAGAGAAAGGTCCAGTTTTGACCATGACACAGAAAGTCACCACCACCATCACTGCTACCACCACAGGCATGCCAGTCAGCAGCTGAGGGCACAGAGCAAGGCAGAAGGGGCCCCAGAATGAAACACTTACTCTGCTGTAGCACTCTGCTTCAGCTCCACGAAGGACATCGTCTTCATCATCGCTGTCGCCCCCAACGCCACCGCTGGTGAGGAGCTGGCATTCACCTGGAAGAGAGACAATGGCACACTGTGTATGGGCAGCTCCTGCACCCCGTTCCTGGGGGATGTAAGTCCCCACTGTGGTGGTCACACCAACACACTTGTAGGTGAGGTGCTTCTTGTATGGGGCGAAAAGGTCCAGATTAGAAATACCTCCCAAATTCTTTCTTTTTCAATTTTTTGTGTACTACACCACGGCCAGTAGGTTGCACAAATAAATGGAAGGTGACAAAGGATGGGAAAGGGACAGGAACACCTTAAGGTTGCCCCAGTGCTGCAGCAGTGACCACAGTCTAAGATCTGTAGGGTAGAAGCTCTTTGGAGTGCAGCACCGAGGCAACACTGCAGATATCCATGGCAGCACTTGATCTTGCAAAAGGTTGGCTGGTCTCTCACTGCTTCCCCTTCCAGCTGTGCACCACCACAGATGTGGAAGTGACCACTGAAGGAAGATAAAGGACACCTGCACCATAGACAGCACCCTGAGGTCTACCTGGCTCACTCCAGTGTTTGAAGGCACTACAGATTGGCCCAACACAGCTCTGCCTCTCCTATTCCCAGTTCCCATCAGCCAGCTCCAGTATGTATCAGTCATCTGTTCCTTTTGAGGTCCTCATCTCTATACCCAGATCACTGCCAAACCCAGCAGTACATTGGGAACAGCACAAATGCCAGACCAAGGCCAAAGTCAAGGTAGGCAAAATGTTCTTTCCTATATCAAATGGCAAGGCTAGTGAATCTTTCCTGCAAAGGCTCCTAAGGAACACAACCTGAAGTCCCAAATTCACTGGGTTCCTTAAGAACATGGCCAACTTTAAGCGTATGATGCAGGTGCATTGAGATGATGAGTACTTGCAAGCCTCAAGTTTGGAATGTAACTAAAAGCCCTGTTATATCCGAGTCTATCCTTAGAGACCCCAGGCATACCACAGTGCAAGGGATGAGCATTACAGTCCACCTCCACCACAGTGGAGAGCTGTCCTCCCTGGCCCAGCCACACCAAACTGTGCTGGAGTGCCCACAGCCAGAGGGTGTGAAGAGAAAAAGACATTGGAAACTTCTCTCGAACTGCAAGCCGCATGCTGCAATTCTCTTTTTTTACTTACTGTTAATGTCTGGCAGGCTGTAAACTCTGTCATGAAGACCTAAATGAAAGAAAAATGGTGGGGAAAAAATAAACACATTTTCTCTGTGTACCTCATAGAGAACAAGCCTCAGAGCTATCGTTAACTGGAGTTCTCATTCTTTAGCCATCACAAGGCACAATCATCAAAAAGGTTCTTTAGAGACAACAAAACAGGCACTTGGAGACAGGACTTGACTGTTAAAAGTCAAAGAGCTTATTTCCAGCACGGTCAGCAGCAGACGGCCACACAAAATGCAACAGTCTCACGTCATTCTGCTGTACCTCCTGCAACCAGAGATGTGCCCCACAAGGAGATTCTTGCCTGTTCAAGGGTCAAGCCAATTCACTGGTGTTAATGAAGTAATAACAACAAAATCATCTCTTTTTGAAAAAGACAACAGAACCTCAATTTAAAGAAGCCTGAAGCACTGTTATCCTCACTCTTGGTTTGGTTTTCTCTCAGATTGTCCTTTCTGTGTGGTCTGACGCATTTTCAGACTGAATGCTGTATAAATTGTCTCTCAGTCCATTAATTTTATATTCAATGCCACTACCTTCCACCCTCTTTCTGATATTTCTACCATGAGCGGTCTGGATAAAAGAACTATTGGACCAGTTGAATTAGCTCACGTCTACGGTATTTGTGCAAACTTTTCTGTGGCTCCTCAAGATCGGAATAAAAATCACATTGGTTTTCAAAGGCAACAGGCAAAGCAGTGCAGCAGTTGTATGGATGGCAACTAGCAGCTACCCAGTAAATAACACCATATTAACAACAGATTTTGGCATGTGTTTATGCAGTACTGGACCAGTCGAAGAAATACTGAAGATCTATAAAGCTCTGAAGAACACAGCTATGGTGACAGGTAACTTACTAATTTTGATACAGTTTTGTCAGTGCCAGAGCATCATCAGATTGGCTGTAAAAATCATTAGATCATCAGAAAAAATGAGTGCTGCCTTTATCCAGCCAGCTGGATGTTTTGGAGCTGCAGGTTAAACTTAGGTTAATTTCACAAACTCTCCCCTGTGACTAAAAGAGCTGAAAGAAAGAAAAACAAGAGCTGCAGCTCTTACGTACTTGCAAACTGCAGGACATGAGGCTTTTAAAATTAAGCAGAGATACTCTCAAGTCTGTGGTAAAACCTTAACAGAGGAAAAAAAAAATCCACCAAGAACATCTGCTCTGCTGCTCCCAGTATAACACACCGCTCTGAACCACTGATTCTTCCTCAAAATATTTTGCACGGTCTCAGAACCACATGGCACTCAGAGCAGCATCAGTGCTCACGTTCCTCCCTTGGTGCACACCCCAACACAGTGCTGCACAGACACCCTGTGCACGGTAAGGCAGGAGAAACCCCAGCACTCCTCCTCACCTAAAAATGCGGAGTTCACCCCCTGGCCCGGCTGCAGCCTGCCGTAGAGGGACTGCAGCACTTTGGCGCTTCCAAACCTCTTGAAACGGGATCGCACGTGTTCGTAGTACCACTCCAGGGAACCGATCTTCATGATCCTGCCCCAAAGAGAGGATGCACGTACAGGTGAGCCAGTCCAGCCATGCTCATGGGGACCAGACCCTCACCCAGAAACTGTCTCTTAACAAAACCAGCCTGTTTTCTAACCATCATAACTGGTTTCTAACCAGCATAAAGGAATGCTGGGTTTGGGCCCCGAGGCTCGCCCTTGGCCCTCACCCTCCATCGCAGGAGCGGTACCTGGAGAGGCGGCAGGGATCGCAGACCCAGCCTTGCTCCTTCTTGTTGTAGCGGCTGCAGTTCTTGCAGGTGTAGAAGTGGCAGTCCAGGCACTGCCGCTTGCTGTTCGGCAGGAACTTGAAGGGCTGGAGGCAGTGGACGCAGTGGGTTTCATTGAGGTGGGACTGATTCGTCAGAAACTCTCTCTTGCTGCTCTCCTGGTCGATCTTGCATTTCAGCTCCCTGCAGAAAACATCCCAAAACACAGGAACTTGGTTTTGTTAGCATTTCACCGCAAACTCTCACATGGCAAACCCCGTCACGCTTCCATGGTTTCAGGAATGATTTTATAGGGAACATCCCGAGTCCTGCAGCTTATGGAAACTGCTGTAGGGCAAATCTAATAAATAACATATCATGAGTTAAATAAGCCGAGCAAAAAAGAAGGCTCCAGATTCAGGGCAGGTTTACCGTACATTAGGATCTGCCACCGTTAAATTTATGATTAGATTTGTTTGTGCCAAAACCTGTCCCATTTGCTTCACAGGGTATTGATCATAAATCCCAGGAAGCTCAGGAGAGCGACTCTTGAAGACTCATCCGCATCCCAACCCAACCCGATCTCTGAGCCTGAAGTCTAGCTGGGAATGTAAAGCTTTCTGGAATTCTCAGTTTAAAAACCAAAAAAAGCAATGTGAGAATAAAAAAGGATTAAAAGGAGCTTTGATCTAGTCCTTCCATGCTAAATTCAGCAGAGACTTTTATTAATGGCAGAAGGGATGTGCAACGAGGCTGTTCAGAGGACAGCAACTGGAGGAGACGCTCACGACGGTTCCGTGAAAGTCCAGCCAACATGACTGCTTTCCAAGCGCACCTTCTCCTGGCAGTCCATCGCTACAGGCTTCCTTTGCTATCCAGACCCAGCTGGTAGAGCAGGTCCCCACGCAGGAAGGTGCCTGTGCCAGGCTGAACCCTCAGGGACAGCCAGGACCAGCTAAAATGCTTGCTGAGCCAGCGGGGGCCTCCTGTGCTACCCAAAGGCTTTCTGTTTGTTCCCCCTGCCACGCACTACCTCGGTATGTTTGTCTTTGGGGCTATGGCTGAGACGCGATGTTTGACTTGTAGGGAAGGTCCTAGAAGGTTGTTTTCTGTCTAGGCAGGGTTAGGAAGCTGTATTTTCCAAACCAGAAGTCAGCCTGGGCCAAAAATCTCAAGTAATCAGGTTTGGAGACTGCTTCAGGAACACAGCGTGGAGCACAAGGCTTCTGGTGCTGCTCCTGGTGCCCCCCAGCTGCGGGGAAGATGAGCTGACGCCGGGGTGACTGCAGCAGGAGCCCTGCTGGCGTGGCGTCATGGTGCTGGGGTGTCCACCAGAGCAGCAATGTGGCTGGTGGTGGGAATGACATGAACGTAAATCAAGCTAATCTCTGTTTAACCAAATCAGTTTGCACATTAGGGATCAGCTCTTGTTTTTTCTGGGGGAGACTTACCACCGGCTTGCTGCCAGCACACCAGGCTGTGTTCACAGTTACACTGGAGTGACACCAACTTGCATTAACCGAGGATCTGGGACATGTAAAAATCAGTATAAAGTCTGAACCGGGCACCTGTTTTTTATATTCAGCTATTCACCATCCTAGCAGTGTTTTGAATGACCTAGTGCAAATGTCCAGTAGTAAATTTGTACGTGGCTACTAAAAACAAGCACTCAAACAGAAAACCCTCAGGTTGGGCTCAGTGCTCCTTTTCCACCCCATGCTCAGGCTGTTTCCAGCAGGATCCCATCTTTTACTGGACCGCTTTTTCTGGTTCCCAGAGACCGGTTGCATTCCTTCACCTCCCCTCCCTCGCCCATGAGACATGAAGAAGGAAGGACAAGTCTCAGCCAAACCAGTTTAAAACCCACAGGAACCACACGCCTCTTGTCTCCTCTTGCTGGCAGGAGCAGAAGCCAGCCCCTTCCCCGCTCTGCTCATGGCAGAGTAAATCAGCAGCGGTGGGATGTCAAATTGCAGTGGGGTTGGTCCAGCTGAGCTCCAGGAAAGATGCAGGGAGCCGTCCCCCAAAACCAGGGTTGCTGGCAGGGATGTTTATGGAAGGAAGCAGAGAGAGCCCCCACAAAGTGGCCATTATTTAATTTCTCAGGCAAAGCGTTACCCTCGCATGGTTGTGCAGTTTCTGGCCAGCTGAAGCCTTTATCCATTGTTGGTGAATATCTTCTGCCAAAAAGAAAATGCAGATGAACAGCAGAAAGGGAAGAAAAAGACCAAGCTGGGGGGGAACATTTCTTCGAGGCTTGCAGGTTGAGGCAAGCCCAGCGAATAGAAAAGCAAATGAATAAAAAAGCAAATGAGGATGGTCAGAGCACAGGGAGCAGGGTGAATGGCTGCAGGGTCTCCCATAACCTCACATCATGTCCCAGCTTGCTGCAGGCAGAAAATGCTCACATAGCTCTGTGTCCAGCATGCAGGAGCCTGGCGGACTTTCGCAGACTGGTGGTCTGGTCTATGCCAGGTATTACAGAAATATCTGGCAGATGGACTTGGCTATGGGTGAACCTGCAGAGAGAGGCAACCAAGCCTCGGACCAGGTAACGTGCTCTACCCTAGAGACTTGGGCAGTGCCAGGCACCGCTGGGTTAACACCAGCCCTCCATGAGGCAGGATTTTAAAATAAAATTTAAAAAAAAAAAAGAAAATTTAAAAAAAAAAGAAAACCAACAACAAACTGCTGACTGCTGGGCAGAGGGAACGCTGCTTAGGATTAGGGGAGACAGCAGCCGGATAGAAGCATCCTGAGACCTTCCCTTCTATCTTGCACACCCTCTTGTATCTCCCAAACCAGGGCACTCAATCTGGGAGCCTCCTCGGCATCAGAGCAGACCCAGATAAGCCAGTCTGGCACCAAGGTCAAGTAGGTAAGGAATTTACCTCACCCACTTCTTTGCTGCAGGGCGCAGCAATGTGGGTCCCCACCTCCTTCCTCCAGGCAGAGCTCAGATCCATCATAAGGGAGACATTCACCCTTTCCAGGGTGGTAATTTTTCTAAACACCCATGTCTGATCTCTGTCCTGCACTTCAGAGCTACCAGCAGAGGAAGGCAGCAGATGATACTGAATTATCTCTGCCTCCCGCACAGGCTGGCTTTTCTTGGGCAAAAAAAAAATAATCAGGAGGTTCAAAAAATATGTGACTGAGAGCTTCTCATGGCTAATAGTGTAAACGGAGAGGCTCCCACGCAGCCTGGCATGGAAACCCACAACAGCAAGCTTTTTGGGGGATGCTTTGACAGCTCAGATGCAGATACCCCAAATGAAGGATGACTCTCACGCCTCACATTTCCCGTTGGATCTGGTAGAGGAACCAACGAGCTCCTGGTCCCTAGAGCATCACCCTGCTGTTGGAACCAGCACTGGCTCACAACATTTGGAGCTAGGAGGGAATGAGGGATTGGTGGGGGCGCGGCACTGCCCAAACCCAGCCTGGGGGCGCAGGGTCAGGATAACGATGAGATCGTGGCCAGACCCTGAAGAGGGACGCTGCGGTTTCTTGAAATAAAGTTAAGAAATTACTAAGTGCAATTCGTGATGCAGATAATGAACAAGACCTAAAAACCCACAACCTCTCATGCTCAAAAGTTCAATCTAATCTGACCGAACATTTTTTGAAAAGCACTTTTGTCCAGTGTCCTATACATCCATCTGCTGCTCGGGTGGTTTTCAATCTTTTCCCAATCTGCGGCTCCTTAAAACTTTCCCAGAACAGCACGGCCCCCTGTACGGCATATTTAAGGCTACTACAATAGGGTTACTACTCCTCTCAGTTATTTTTCCAGGATCCTTCAGGAGTCCGTGGGCTCCCAGGACCCGCTGAACACCCCTCCTGCCCTAAACACGCGAGAAGCAT